CAGCCAATCTTTTTTTCAATATACTGACAGTGAATAATGAAACGCAGCATTAATCAGAGTCCTACGGTCCCGCAAAATTCAAAATACACGTACGATTATATACGTATATAATTACGCGTATATAATTTTGCATAACACGTGAGCGCGCGTGTGTGAATATATATATATATATTTCAAGAGAGATCTTTTAGATATCTTTAAGATGTCTATTAGAATTAAAGATATTTTTTAAGATGTCTTCAAGATGTCCATAGATATCTTTTAGAAGTTCTACAAAGATATCTTTAATAAAATCTTTTTAGACATCTTTTATTATAAATATCTTCTAGAAATGTTTTGAAGATATCTTTAAAGAAATATCTTTTAGATGTCTACAAGACCTCAATGTTATCTGGGAAAATATAATGTGCGCCGATTTGAAAAATGTCATTTTGAGAAAAACAAGTTTAAAGTTTTTCAATACGATTTTTCGTATATAAAATTTAAAAAATGTAAAAATTACCTTTAGTTGCAATGCCTACGCCATACATCCTTCAACATTGATATAAACCTCTTCAGCCTCTTTTCGGTCTAATTTTCGGACTCTTTGCGAGCCTTTTGCCGCTTCGGTCAACGAGCGCTCCGCTACTTTGATGCGTTGAGCGTCCGCTTTCATACAGAAGTTATAACAGTTACAGCTTATAGGCATCTGCTAACACGTGTAGTACTAATTTTACAGTCTTTCTTTGTGGTATACACTATTCTTTTATCGCCTTTCATCATAATAAATATATTTTTTAAACGCCGTTTGGCATATCTGTTTACACTGAAAAACAGCTATGTACTGACGCTACCCGAGTTATACAATTACACTGAAAAAAATTTTGTTCATTTTTGATCCAATGAATAATCGTTAATCAATGTCCGACTTAATATAATTAATTCATTGATACAATAACTGGATTTATTTATATAAATATATATTCATTCTTGCAATGAATTCTAGTAATAGTTTTATAATCTAAATCATTATGAGAATTCATTGGACCAATTTTCATTATTTTTTCATAATTTAATGAATATTTTATTGTATTTACGTACAGTTTTGGTTCAATGTAATTCGAAATTATAATTATATAATAACATTATAATGGTCGAAATTTCTACTGATATTTATAGACTCGTATTCATAGTCGGGCCTTATATTTAAGGCTTCCTTAAATTTATCTTTAGATGCTCAATAGCCAATGTTAAGGCCTGACTATGAATACGGGCAATAGTTACTTACGGAAACCTATTGCTACTGTAGATGCGTTCGGGAAGATGCTATTAGCGCTATTTATCATTCTATCCTTGTTTTATGTCTAATAAACAACGAAGATAGAATGACAGAAGTAGCGCTAATAGCGCCTCCCCGAACGCACCATAGATCTTTTCATATCTAATGAGTTAACTGCTCCGAACTTTCAAAGCCGCGTGTGGCGTGTCGATCGTGAGAGGACGTGCTTTAAGGGGATCCTAAACTGATTACCGAACTTGATTGAGGTCGATAGTACAGACTTTTTTAAATCCAAATTCGATAATAGTGACATCTTTGATTCATTTCTTACATTATATTATATTGTATATCGTTCTATCTCACTTAAACGCATACATCTGTCCTTATCTAACATATGCCAGCACCATCTATCGCAAGACCGCGCAACTATTACTACACGGAATTTCGGCTCTGTTGACAGTCTCAGTCTTCGCAAAGCATCCGTATACACGTATTTTCCATTCGGTGAAAAAGCTTTTCTTCTAGACTTTCAATCTTAGTTCTACAAACTCGGTATCGTTCGTTACAATAATGTGACCTCAGCCGTATGCTTATTTTGAAGATATAAACTATAAAACTCTTGTATGAAGCAAATATAGAGGTGTCAGCTGTACGAGCTAAAAATAAGCGAATTTTTAAACTTTTCTTCGATTTTCTCATAAAATCCGATACAGCTGAAGTCCTGTTTGTGCGTACTTTAATTCTGTAAAAACAATTTTACAATCCATCAATTCAATTCGGAGATATTTCACCGAATGGAAATGATGGTAAAGTAGAACAACTTTAGCATCCCCTTAAGGGGATCCTAAAACCGTTTATATTACCGACTAAATCGTAATTTTTGTATAACGAATACTTTTTTCTCTTTCACAGATTCTCTCTCTCTCTCTCTCTCTCTCGAAAATCCTTTTCCAGGATTAAAGTATACACATTAATACGTGTTTATGAGATGAAGTTTATGTCGAGAAAAATAAAAAATTTTTTTAAGATTTCGAAATTTTTGTCGTTTTCGGCATAAATTCCACCTCACAAACACATATTAATGAGTATACTTTAATTCTGGGAAAGGATTTTTGAATCTGTGAAAGAGGAAAAAATATTTGTTATACAAAAATTACGATTTAGTCGGTAATACAGACGGCTTTAAGGTCCCCTTAAGGGGATGCTGGAGCCGCCTGTATTACCGATAAAACTAGCGTTTTTAATGTTTTTGTTCCTGTCGAATTTCTTCGTAATGGTTTCACAGAATAAAAATTCCTTTTCCACGATTAAAATATACATGCTAATGTATTTGTCGGTGGTGTATTTTGTGTTCAAAGTTGGAAAAAATAAAAAATTACAGATTTCTTTATCCATTTTTATCTCAGTATGGCGACTAAAGCTGAAGGTAAAATCAATAAAGAAATTTGTATTTTTTTATTTTTTCTAACTTTGAACAAAAATACACCAGCGACAAATATATTAGTATGTATATTTTAATCGTGGAAAAGGAATTTTTATACTGTGAAACCATTACGAAAAAATTCAACAGGAACAAAAACATCAAAAACGCTAGTTTTATCGGTAATACAGGCGGCTCCAGCATCCCCTTAAAGAATCAGCTGTAACTTTGTAAATATTTCGAATTTTCGATTACAACTAATGGGGTTATATTTTTATATGTATAAACTCATCATTTAAATGAAAAAAAATTTTTTGATTTTTCAAAGTTTCAAAATGGTGTAATCCCTAAAGAACTTCGATTTTTAATCTCTTAAAGAACTTCGATTTTTGTGAATTAAAATGCCGAATTCTCGAAATCGCAATTTTATCTCTTTTAAATTTGTGTTCACAATGTTAGAAATTGCTTCGAAATCTCCGAAATCTCGGACGAAGAAAGAATTGACAATATAGCGTTTTCGGCTTGATCGGGTTTATCCAACAAACGAGAAATTATTGAAAAATGTTGAAAATTATTCATTGAAGTGATGTCGAATCAATTTTTGAATTTTTTAAATCTGTTTTTATCCGTAATCTGCTTGAATCAGTAATTATGGATTAGTTATTTACTTTCTGTATCTCATGTGAATAGAAATACCCAATGTGAATAGAAATGAAAGGTGCGACTAATCTGGTTGAATCCGTAATTACGTATTGGTAATATACTTTTAATATTTTACCCAATGTTCGACGCAATGAATGTGCAACTAATTCGTTTGAATTTAATATGTGGTATTGAAGAATTTATCTGACATAGGAGATCCACCAATTGCTAGTCACCGATCTCGGCAAGTGATATCGTCGAAAAGTACGCACTATGGTGATATAAATAAGTCGTTGGCTCTCAAACAAAAACCTCGGTGTGATATACAGAGAAAAAATACAGAATGTGTAACATTGCGGATCCACAGCGACAAAGTAATTTCTAGACATAACCCTGGCCACAACAGTGCAGGTTATATCCGGGAGTCACTCTGTTACCGTGAATCTGTAATGTTGTATATTCCGTGTATAGTACTAGCTCATTCGGGAAGAAACGATTCATATATCTGTGATCATCTTAATGCATGCTTTCCAACGATAAATCACTTTCTGGGATCGCAGACTAGCACTTCATTTCTGAACTTATATGAATCCACTAAAATTCACATTATTATATTTGTCTAGACGTATAGAAACGGATTCAGTGTATTCAGTCTCTACAAAATTCAATACTTTTTTCGCGGATAACACGGATTCGAAAACTTGATTCATACGGATTTATCCAATTCAATCCGTTTGCTGGGTTGCACCAACCTGGCTTGGATTAATCTTTCCTATTGATTGACGTTACACGCTCTACCAATAGGAGAGCACAAAACGCCATTAATCCAACTTAGATTGGTGCAAACCTGGCCGGGTCGAAAACGCTAATAATTTGAATCATGAGGTTTGTTTTTTATTGCTGCACTCTAAACCGGTGCAATAAGTTGAAGTGAAACAAATATACGTTTGTTTCACTTCAACTTATTGCACTGTGTGTATTATTAGTTCAGAAAGTACAGCAATAAAAAACGGACCTATGGTATAAAAATATTCGTCCATCATGATTTGAATTATATTCGGTCACATGACGATGCGATTGGTCTATTCTTTTTCATTTGCGTCATTAAAAGTTTGTCAGAAACGCCTACTTTGTTTCTGCATAATTTTGATACTCTGATTGAAAGTGCTTCATTGTTTTCTTGTAAAAAATATTATTGATCCTTGCACAAAAGTAGCTGTCAAGGAACGCTCGATTTCTTGACTATGCGGAAAACGCACTTGCTTTCTTTCTTTCTCTTTATACTAAACAGACTTAACAGATCGCAAAATAGCCGCGTAAGCATTTGATTAAAAGATTTTATCTTATGGTGAGAACCAAAATGCTGAGAATAAGAGAAATCATCAGGCATCCAAAACTGAGAAGATTTAGGACGGAATGGCGGATTTTTATGTGGAAAGCCGTGCTTATGAGGCTGCATAATCCTATAATCACCGCCCTGGAGATAATTATAGCCATTGTCTTTTCGTTACAGATACGTTTGATGTTTGAACCATGTGCTCTTCATTCGCAGGTAGTCTCATTGGCAATTGTAAAGTTGGATTAAACATATTTATCTTGAGACTAATATACAACTTGATCCTTGTTTTTAATAATTTCTATATTATAATTTTATTCTTTTTATTTTTTAATTAATATCGAAATTATATATCTATTGTGGTTTTAGAAACACCTGTTTCATTAGATATTAGATTGCATTGCAATATAATTTATAGAATAATGAGTATAGAATGATATATTATACAATATAATTTTATACACAAATTATACTATTTTATGCTAAATATTTAATAATTGTTTTAATACTCTAATAATTGCCTATATAATATCTCTTATATTTTACCTAAAGAATTTAGATCGATACAGTCGCAACGATATCTTAGCAAAATTGCCAAATGATGTGCAATGCTGGTATGCACCGAGAAATACATTTGTAGATGAGTTAATGCTGAAAGTCACGAAAATGCTTCATACAAATAGTAAGATAACATCTCAAATGCGTTTATTAAAAAAGAGATTAAATGAAGGCTATATATTATAATACATATCAGTTCAAGCGGCCGACAGCGAAATTAACCTTGTACATTCACGTTACGCAAAAAATGACACTTCTAAGGTACTATGGGCAATATTCGAGATTGATAAACTCGTATCTGGAAAGCCAAAGGTCTTAGAATACAAAATACGTTCATCTGAAATAGGCGAGAACCGAATGATTATGATGCATGAGGAAGAACCTGCCTATAAGGGTATCCTAAATATATTTTCATGAGTAAACATTATATAGTTAGATATAAATTTTAAATTAATTCATAAGTTATTCTTAAAGTGAATTTTACAAATTTTGCACTTAAAAACCATTACTTACATTAAATTTAAACTGTTTAAATTTACATTTAAATTCAATTTATATTAAATACTAATTATTAATATAGTTGTAACAGATATATATATATATACAGTCAAGTTTAATTTTTTATATAATGTAACATGCATTAAGCAAAAGTGACTAAAATATTCAATAAATTGTTTAATGTCTCTCGTCGAAGATCCATATATATTAAGTGGTTTCATGGCTCTGCAAATTGCGATTGAGAAATCTTTTGTGGAGATGTGGACAAATCCGACACTACCAAAGATCGCTGATAATGTAAATACTTGAAATAATAAAATTACAATGAAACTGATATCAGTAATAATTGTAAGCAGAATGTAAAAAGCTGTTGACAACAGTAGGTTTTTTGCAGCTAACTATTGGCCGATTTCCATTTTATAAAGTCAATTTTTTAATTTTACCGTATGTCATTCGACCTAACATAAGCATAATCTATTACGTGATGGTTATTGCTTTCCTTTTACTGCCAGCAGCAACGTTAAGAAAGGCACTTCACGATAAAGAAACTGGATTCAGAGTGAGCTTCTGTTAAATAAAATTAAATTTGTTTTTTGCTGCTATATTAATTTTTCTTGCGTCTTCATATAATGTTTGTTGTTAATAAAAATATTACTTTAGGGTCTTATGAGATTAACAAATATATCTTTCACAATGTTATACACCGGATGGCTCAATTATCTTATGATCGTTCTATTACCCGTGACGATCATATGTACAATCCTCCTATTTCCTGTGTTTTCGGCTGCAAACGCGTTAGTCATTGCTATATTTATCATGATGTACAATATACTTTCAATGTTCTTCATGTTCACCATCAGCACATTTTTCGATCATCGTAAGTCATTCAAATATGTGAGTAAAAGGAAAACACATAATATTCAAATTCTTATGTGAAAAAAACAAAAAAACTAGGTTCATTGATAACTTAATCCAATATTCTCGCAATATTAATATAATTTGTATATACGATATATATATTTTTTATAAGTACACGCAACGCAATTTTTATTTCTAAAAATCCTAATACTTATGAGTGCCCATCATTTTATTCTAGATATGAAAGCATTGTTTATATCGGTTTTGTTTTGGCTCTTTTTGACGCACTTAACTATCGTTCTGGATCAGTTTTTGATAAGAGAATCTATGCTGTGGAGGATTAGTTCACTGATTCTGCCACATAGTGGTTTGCTTTATGGAATAGTAGCTTTCACGACCTACACGAATTTCGGTGAGTCAATCTATTATTTGACTTTAATTTGAAAATTAATTTGAATAATGTGACAATTGTTAAAAGAGAATGACTCAATTGAAATTTTATTTATATTTACATTATTTATTCATATAAATTTTTAAATTCATATAATAAATTTGTTTGCATATATTTGCATATTTCTTGTTATAAAACTCCTTTCTCATTCGTTATTGACAAATTGTTCCAATATATGTGCAAAATATAAATTACTAGCAAATATGTAAAATGAACAATTATATAAGTTACGAAACGCACATTCTTCATGAGCGAGTTATTGAAGCGTATAAATTATATGCCAAAGCTGTCTTTACTACAATACTTAAATCACTTGCTGATCATAAATTGACTGATCTTTCAACTAGTGATTTATATTTCAAGGTACTACTAAGAAAATAAATACGTTTGCTATTCCAGGGAAATATACATATATAATTTACATTCATAATTACAATTAATATAAATTTTATATATATATATATACAATAATTACAAATATTATAAATTATAATATATAAATTTTTATAATCATATACTTATAATCATATAATTTAAAAACCTATAAAGATTCCGCGAGCACAAGGTTAATCACACAAGGTTAATCACATTATATATATCGTGTAAATAATAAATAACATGCATTAGTGGTAAAGATGCATTATGTCATTATGACTTTTACGCTAATAGATGACAATAACAGCGAAAATTCGAGAAATATCTGGCAATACACACAAGTAAAACCACGCAATTACATTGGTTCTACCTCGTATTTGTGGCCGCGGTGGCTTTCTGAATTGATAACACTACGAGATGCCCACAATATCATTTACGCCGCAGAAAAAATTCCTGTTAGCTTGATTCTATTTGTCTGGATATTGCATATTATTTTTTGGTATTTACTAGCAGTGTACTTAGATAATGTTAATCCAGGAAAATTTGGCAGCGCAAAACCCTGGTACTATTTATTCAAAGTAAATATGAAATTTATAATTCTAATATATTATTACTCTTTAAATTATATATTAGTGCGTGACAGTATTCTATATAAAGTCAGATTCATATTTTATATTTTTAGAAGCATAATTTAATTTGTATAACTTTTATAAATAGTAAATATAAGTATATTTTATAGAAACCTGTTTATGATGACGATTTATTTATTCGAGGATCAACTAACTGGTCAGCAGTGGAGCACACACCATCATATATAAAGGTATAAGTGATGTTAAGATTTAAAGTTTGGTCATGCACGGTCTTAATATTCTATTCAGCCAACGAAATAATCGTACAGCGTTCCGACTTAAAATGATCTTGAATAAGACCAGACTATAAATATCGCCATATTTCTCAAATATACATACAAATATTTTGTAATATCTATTTGAACTAATTATACATAAAATAAAAATAATACAGTATACATATAATTTTTATGATGTATTAAATAATTTAAAGCAGAAATATACAACAATAAAAACATCTTAATATTTACATCATTTTCAAGAGGGCGATTATTATTATTACAATATAATTTGTCATTTGAGTTTAGACAGAAAATAATTCTTATAAGACATTAATAATTATTTATATTTTAATTAGCTATTTTTTTTTATCTTAGCTGAATCTTTGTATAATTTATTTATGTGAACAATAGCCATCTATTCGAGTGAGATGTGTTCGAAAGGAATTCGGTAGGCTTGGTGAACGTATTACAGCTATAAACGATGTAACGATCGACTTTTATAATCAAGAATTCAGTGTCATTCTGGGTCACAATGGTGCCGGCAAAAGTTGTTTGTTAAAAATAATTATCGGTATAATAAAAAATTAATTTACATCACTGACTTTAGCCTTCGGGGATATTGACGATATTTGTTACATGTAATAGGAATGTACAAACCGACTCATGGCCACGTTTACTTGGAAAATGAAAGTTCTATATATCCAATTGGTTATTGCCCGCAGGAAAATATATTGGTAAATTACTTGACGACGATTCAACATCTCTATATATTTGGTATGGTAAATATCTTTTGTTATTATAAAACAATAGCGACAATTAATTTTTTACGTATCAAGCATAGAGGAGAAGGTAGTATTATGGCACTCCAATTATATTTTACCCAATAACTCTGTTAATATCAATATTTAAGTTTAAAACTTGACAATTACATTCTTTAAAATGTTATTGAATCGATTCTGGACTCAAAGTTACAAAATACTTATTACTTAGGATACTATTAATAAAAATGTGGCGACATTGCATAATGACTCGAAGAAAAAAATGGGTAATAATGTGGCCTTCTATTAAAAAAGCCTTAAAATATTAGTTTTGTTTAGAAAACAGTATTTGGTTACAAAATTAATAAAAAAGTAAAACATTTTAAAATGTATGCAAATGAATATACATACATTCACATAACTTTTGCATATAAGCTGCTCAGTACTAAAAATCTCAGTACTATAAAGAATAGTACACATAATATAAACTATGTATTAACAATAAAGTTACAATCGATTATTAAATAATTATTTTGATATGAAAACCTCAAAAAAGAGATCGTGAGTAATCAATACCCATAGAAGGCCACATTAGCAAAATGCCATACTATTGTTTAAATTTGCATAACTCAAAATATATACAGTCAAATAAAATGTTAAATAGCAAATAACACACTCAACAATACATATATTTATATGATAATACGTTTAAGTTTAAGAAAAATGAGAGGAAGTAGGTGTAATTAAATACTAAAATGTACCTCAGAAACGTTTCGAAATACTTGAAAGCAAAAATGTGTTATAATAAGTGCTGGCTATTGCCCAGTGAACACAAAGTTACATGTAACATACCTGTTAATTGTAATTTCCCACTCAACAATATAACAATATAACGTGTGTTATGTTACAGTTATATTGTTGAATGGGAAATTACAATTAACAGGTATGTTACATATTACTTGTGTTCACTGGGTTGAGTATTGGTATATTAGCGTCATAGTACAGCGAGCTACTGAATAAATAATTCCATAAGTAATCATTAAGATTCGCTATATAATAGCGGATATATTAAGAGAGGCCACAATATATAGACTGGCTATAAATATCACCTTCTCTTCTAATAATACCAATCTAAAATGAATATTTTAATACTATAATTAAAATTATTATTTTATATATAAAATATCAAGTTATGTAGATCTTTCTAATTAAAATCGAAGTTTTTCTTATAAGCGTTTAAAAATTTAGAACCAATAACGTCGGCTAAATTACATACAAAAAATATGTTAAATAAGCATATTGATCTAAATAAGAACCAGTTTGCTAATACTATGTTTCTAATTGCTCGATTTGATATTGGAAAGCAAACTGTTTGTCTCTCTCTGCGGGCTACCTACTAATTTACCATTCACTATTAAATAAGATAAACAGAAAAACATAATAATGCATTTGCTTAACTAACATTATATGAAATAACAGTGGCGCAATATATTTCCATACACATTACGTGTTTAGATTTGGATAGTACTCGATCAATTTATCGCGTGAATCACAATACACAATATATAAAAATTTATTAACAGCAGCTCTTATTTATTTATTGTTACTTATTAATCATATGTCTTGTATTTCACATAAAAAATGTTAAATATTAAATGTAAAATTAAATTAGCAAATTATTTTAATTCTTTTTTAATATTTTATTAATTTTTCTATCAGAAATTATTCTTCGATCATAAAATAAATATATTAATTAGAACTATCATTATTATTATTTTTGAACAAATACAATGTATTTATGTAATCAACGTATCGATATAATCAAAACTACTGTTAGAACTTTAATTATGTCGAAACGAATGTTAAATGTGTTAGAGAAATGTGTTCAGTAAAACAATTCTTATTTCAGATAAAAGGAATGACTTATGAGGATGCTTATAGGGAATCATTAAAGCTGTTAAAACAATTGGATTTAGAGTATGTGAAGGATACAAAAATGAAATCTTGCTCCTTTGGTACGCAAAGAAGAATTTGTTTAGCAATGGCACTTATTGGTAATACTAAGGTATATTATTTGACTTATAATCATAATAAATTATAATAAATCCAAGAATTGAATTTTAACGTTAATGAAATTAATAGCAATAGATATAATAAATTGGAAAAATCACATTTAATTTATATTAATTCTGACAGATCCTCATTCTTGACGAACCTACATATAGTATTGACCCTGAGCACAAAAGGCAGATATGGGATTTACTTTTAGTGAGTGAGATTAAGCAGATAGCTTTAATATAAAAAATAAAGATTATATAAAATAGAAAATATAAAATAATGCACAATGATATTTTGTAGGATATAAAAAGACATAAAACGATAATAATGGCAACGAATTCCATGGAAGCTGCAGATTTTCTTGCTGATAGGATCGCTATTATTGCAAACGGAAGGATCGAATGTTACGGTTCAAAAATGTATTTGAATCGTCGATATGGTAAGGATAACATCTGACATAACTTATGCATTAACAAAATTATAAGCTATATAAAATAAAATGAATTTGTTGACTAACATTAAAAAATTTTTTTACGTAAATTAATTTTTGTTATTACGTAATCGAACTCTTCTAAAATTACTAAAATAGGAATCGGTTACGTATTGAGTTTATTGGTACAAGAAGATTACAATGTGAAGCAAATTCGTACAGAAATACAAGAATTTTCAGCGGATCCAATTACTTTACGAAGCATGATGGGTTTAGTAATAAGATTTGATGTGCCAAGGACAAGTCGTTTCACCAAATTACTCCAACATTTAGAATTTAACAAAGAAGAATTAAAAATTGTGTCGGTTGCACTGAGTGCTGCTAGCATCGAGGGTCAATTTCTTAGGTAATCACGTTTTGTTTCAATTTACTTTCAACATTTATTTTCAATGTAAAATTATTAATAGATTCCTGCTTATATATGAAAATAAAAGCTAATATTTTTATATTTTTACTATTTTTATATTTTTATTTATATTTTTATATTTTTACTTTAATTATTATTTTACTTTTAATTTTTAATGATATAAAATAGATTTTAGAAATTAGAAGGTTGGCTAATATCATAAAACTAATTGTTCTGTATTTAGAATAGGTTTAGAGAGTCAGTTTAAAGAACGCGGTGTAAAATTATCTAGCAACAAATACGAACTTATTGTGCAACAGAGACGACGGCACTTGTTACAAACAGGTAAAATTTTGACATATTGTTAACGTATAAAATATAAAATAAAATAAATAACAATAAATATACAAATAATTAAAAATTGTAAATCTATAATAACTTATGTAAATAATCTAGTATGTAATTTTGCTATTTAAACTAATAATATGTATATAATATTATAAATATCTATATAATATTATAAATTCCTATTCAAACTATAATGTTGATCTAAATTATCAGCTAAACCATGGAAGCGCTTGATCGGTGACGCTTTATGGCGGCAGCAAATTCTCGCAATGTTCTTTAAAAAATTTTTGCACATCGCTTCGTCCTGGAAAATATACGTGTTTTCGGTAAATTTTTCGTTCTATCAGAAAAAGTATAACATTATATTTTTATAAATAATCAAAGCCATTTTAGATAACTTTAGCGATTATTACTCTCATCCTGGCCACTATAACCGCAGAGTTGAGCAATTTTACACTCTTCGAAACAACGTAAGTTAATCTTGTTTGTCTTGTTATAATAAAGAAAGCGAAACTATTTTCTTTCACATAAATAAATAAAATTATTTTACAATAGTTCAGTTGTCTTTTAAGAATTACCCAAATCGCTATTATCAAAATATGTATAGTACTTTTAATAAGTATCATAATTATACTGCTATTATACAAAAAATTACTATTCTGGCTTTTATTTTTATATATACAAAATTTTTACTTTTTTATCAAGCAAATTAAGATACTTAATTATTTCTCTTTAGCGAGAGAGTAATGAATCTGACGAGTTATATGGACAACAATTTTCATGTACTATATTATGCGGCCGATGATAAATCCATGAAAGATTTTCTTGTAACATTGTACGTTACTAGTCAAACCTATAGTGAGAGGCATAATTATCATATCTCTAAAAACATTCCAGCCACGGATTTAATGATGCAGCCTGACTTGCATTCTATAGAGGTAAAAATAAAAAATATATTAAAATACATGGTATAATATAGCTCAAGTAATACAAATTAATCGAAATTATATTAAGAAAGGCTACGAACCATAAGAATAAGATTGAATATAAATAATAAGTATAATATAATTAATAAGCACTAAACAAAATATAAGAACTATACAAACGACGTTTCGACTCTGATAAAAAATTATAATTAATCATAACAAAAAATATATTATAATTTTATGCAAAAAAGAATTAAAAAATAAAAATAAATAAAAAATATATTATATAAAAATATTAATTTTATAACACTTTAGGGATCGTTACGTGATGTCTATCGACATGTATACAGATGGACGCGTACAACTTATGTATTCATCCACTGCAGTACATAGTGGGCCAATTGCATTAAATTTACTACATAATGCGTTACTGCGTTATCATTGCGGTTCAGACAATTGTTGGATCAAATTGGCTAGTCGACCGTTACTTCGTCCAGGGCAGGTAATATCTCTAACATTAATTAGTGGATTAAATTATACTGATTCTAAAAATATTGAGCTATTTTTCATCACATTAATTATATATTTTTGGTTCACTTACTTGTGCATATAAAATAAAAAAATTACTTATAGAAAAATATTTTTAATTATATAACTAAAATAAAAATAAAGGGGCATTAACGTTCGATAAAATATTTGTACCATTATGTATAAAGATTATTTATTCAAATAAGAAAATGAGAATGATTTTGTATCCTCCACGTTTTAGTATTTAGATACATATATATATATACGATATTTATAGTGGCAACATTTATTGGTTCATCCACGCAGCGTACGAAACTGGGAAAATGCTGCTATAATAATAACTTTATTCCTTCTTCTGCCCTCTATTGATATGGGTATACGAGAACAAAATACACGCTCAAAAATGCTGCAAATTAATGCGATCGGTATGTCTACGCGAATCTATTGGATCCCGACGTATATTATTGATTTCCTTTTGTATGCGTTCTCCATAACATTCTTTGAAATTACTATCTTAAATGTCTATCGCCGCACGTTGCACTTCTCAAATTTAGAGATTGGTAAGAATTTTAAGATATGTAAAATGTTTATCTCTTTATTTCAGTTCTGTTTAAAAAATTTTTGTTTTTATATATAATATTTTAAAATTTATTAAAAATCAACATTCTTAATTTCGAGAAATTTGCAGTAGCGTAGAACAACATCATTATATAACAAAACTCAAACATGTATTTATAGATGTGTGTTACATAAAAATTAGAAATTTAAACCTAACAGTGCCTGTGATTAATCGATATTTCAGTTCAAGTGCTAATGATATTCCTATGTTACGGAGGGTGCGCCATTCCATTAGGTTATTGCGTACAACTTTTCACAAAAAAACCGGAAAATGCGTACCTAAGTGTGATACTGATCAATATTGTAACCAGTTAGTAATTTAATAGATGGTTTATATAATTTTATATTGCCATTTATAAAATTTACTGTAAAAAATAACATTTCATTTAATTCTGTATACAAAATATCTTTATTTAAATGTAGAATACGTGTTTCTTTTTTGCAGTGTTATTGGTAAACGGCTCTGTTGTATTTCCATTGATATTTCAAGTACTCAGCAACGTTGAAAGATATATTCTTGAAGTTCTTATACATATATTTCCACCATACATTCTAGCTTGTGCTTTAAGCAATTACATTATGCTGAATTTATATAACAGACAGTGCAGTTATTTTAATACTTGCGATACAGAATTTTATATTGAAGATCCATGTTGTCGTAAGTTCAAAAAATTATCGTTATAGTAACAAATTATTATTTCTGCTAAACAACATTGATTTGACGTTTCAGAAAATTGTGAAGGCAAAGGTTGTTACAAACACTTGGATGTAATGCTGATTAAACAATCCAGCTTTGAGTATAATCATTCGGTCACAGATGACATACTTTTAATGGTATCCCTAATGTTCGCTTTTTACATAATGCTGGAGATTTTTGAAGAAAAAAATCGAAGAAAATGGTATAGTTATTTTATGCCTCCCAAGAAAGATGATGATTTAGAGTTGGAAGTTATACAGGAAAAGAAGCGAGTCGAAGAATACATGAAACGTAAAAAAGACAATATAAGAATAAAAATTATCTGTATTTATATTATGTTATAAAGCTAATGAATTTAAAACATGTAAACTTCTTTGCATATGCAGATTATGACGAAACAAAATTGCTTCCATCGCGAGTTGCTCTTATTGTCCAAAATTTGACAAAAGAATATGCTAACGAAGCGATAGTTCAAGGAATCAATTTTAGTGTAAGCGAGTTTATGTAATTTTAACCAAGAAATTTGTTTCTTTATATTTTCCTTTGTATTAATGGAAGGTTGCAATATTAAATATACAGATATTTTATTTAGATCCACAATCAAGAGTGTTTCGGATTGTTAGGATTCAATGGTGCGGGAAAATCAACCATATACAAAGCACTGGTAGGTCAAATAAAAATGTCAGCTGGAAAAGCAGTGATATATGGATACGAGTTCACAAGAAATCAAGAGATGGTGAATATAATTTTATTATTTTTTAAAAAGTGATAAAGTTGATACAAGCATATCATTAGGCATTTAACAAGAAGCGTGTAATTTTTTTGTGTCTAGCATTTTATAATAGTAAACTTTTTATTTACATTTATATAATCATTAGAAAGATTTTAATTTTTTTATATAAAAAATATTATTTGTATCTATATATATAAAGAAGTTTACATATTTTAAATTCAAGTTTGTAGGTATGATAGGATATTGTCCACAAATTAACGGACTGAGTGATTTTATGACTGGAAGACAATATTTGCAACTTCACGCGGCACTTCGCGGTGTTCCATATGAAAGTATCAACGAAGAAGTAAATAAGTGGCTTGATGTATTAGGTAAAAATAGAAATAAATTGAAAATTTTTCGCTCGTTTAAAATGCATATTAATGCTAAATAATGTTTAATAATAAAATTCAATTTAGATATGTTGGACTTTGAGAATCTGAAAATTGCTCACTATCCTTGGGGAATTCAAAGAAAACTTTGCATACTGCAAAGTCTTACCGGCGATTTACCGATGATATTTATGGACGAACCTTCCGCTGGGGTTGACATAATGACTAGACACGCAATCTGCGAAATTTTGCATCAGATACGAGAGATGGGAAGATCTATATTAATCACTACACATAGGTAATTCATACAAGCTTAATAAATAAAATACATATTAGATTCAATTTTGAATTTCAGCATGCGAGAAGCAGAAGCGATGTGTTTGCGCGTTGGTATTTTAGTTAACGGCCAATTTACTGCAATTGGATCTTGCGAATATCTAAAGGCAAAATATGGCCGGAACTTTATATTAAATATTAAAATAGTACCAGGATACCAGATTACGAATCTTGAGAAGATTAAGAAAATCATTAACGAAATTTTTCCAACAATAAGATTTAAAGACAGTTACTTGGTAAGAGGAACTAATTTTATTAGTACTATTCGATAATTTGGATAATTCAAATATGTTTGAAAGATTTTGGTAAAGTATAAACTAAGAAAGAAATTTACAAATATATAAATTTTTCGTCACGGCAGGGTGTTCTTAAATACGAATTAGAGAGTGACATTTCGTATAGTTATGTGTTTGATAAACTCGAAAAGCTAAGACAGAGATATGTGTGGATCACAGATTTCTCGGTTACTCAGCCATCAATGGATGAAGTATTCCTAACTTTAGCAAAGAAGCAAAGAGAATCTCATAAGAAGTTAAAACTTTACGAACGTCTACATTCATGTATTATAGGTATATACAGCAAATATAAATAAATGTTGTTATCACATAGTAATTCTTTATACATATAACTATGTTTTTTTATTACTGTGTAAATGTTATTTTTATATTTTGTTTACATTATGCTTGTTTATAAGCGATATTAATGTTCATCTTAAATTTTATCCATTAATATTCAGAATACATTATTAATTCAATACAATCGATGTTAACATATATATCGTATAAAGTTTTATTTGCCAATATTACAATTAACATTTTCAATATAATTATAACTATTTAAGTATACAAAAAAATAAATAAAAGTGTAATAAAATTGACCACACTATTTTCTGCTGACGATTAATGATAATATATGTATAACAAGTATAATCTCTACATTCTATATGATTTTAATTAAATCTTGTATACATATATCTGAGATAAATATCAGCTGCTATTATCTATTATTCACTGCACTTATTCATTCAACGCACTGAATATAACAAATATAGAATTGCAAATGAATAAAACTGTACATTCGATAAAATAACTCGTATTTATATTATTCGAAGAAGTTGACAACCAGAGCTGCAATACTGCAAACTACCTCACCGACGATCGTTTATGTCGGTATTCTGCGATTATTCTCGAGGCCTATCAGACCTTCTCAAGCACGAATTATTATTCATCCACAATTACAGTATTATTGTTTAGTATTTTGTTGATGATTTAATTTATTTTGATAAGATTATATAAGATTATAAAGAACATTTTGCATTTTTCCTCGGGAAATAAAAACTTTACTAATTAATTATAAAGAATGTATTAGAGAAGAAATTCTTCGCTTTCCCTCTATGCTACAATGATGTATTTAGAAATATTACTTTACAACTTACCGGTTACTGATAAATTACCAATTGTGACTCAAATATATTTCTTTAATATCTGCAATATTTATATTTATGTTTTATGTAATATGTTTAGACTAAATTATAAATTTTGCAGGATGAAGCACATCAAAAGAAGATACAGTCGTGTTTATTAACAATAAATAAAAATATTGTCTCATATTTATAAATTATTTAATTAAAGAAAAATTATATTTAGCTAAATTTAGATAAAGTTTTACATGCATTCAAAATAAAATATAAAATATATACATCTAACGTAACAAATAATAAATCACGAATTATCTGCATTAAAGTTACTTACATTTGCATAGATATATTTGTAAATTATTTAAACACATTGTATCATGACTCTTCTGCGCCTTTCCAATAAATGATTAATTGAAACGCAGAGATTGTGGCGTGGCAATGTACTTCTATCACAAATATAGCTTGTTAATAGTATTATATAAAACGCGACTATCGATCACGCGTATGTCTCGAGTGATGTTCAGTCATCCTCTTCCTCTTTCGCTCGAAGAAAAGTACGATAATGCATGAAAATATATCCCAGTGCCGAGACACGCGCCCATTTATGCAAATGTAAATAAATGAAGCACATTGTTATCTCTTAACAGTGAATTGTTCAAGCGAGCGCGTATTATCGTTTTAACCTTTGAACCGCAAGAGAAAAGCTCTCTCCGTGAAAAATCTATTCCCCACATCTCTCACTCCTAACGATAAAGCAACCCATCAACCCTTCGTCGTTCCGACCACTTAGACACCCGTGCGTGCACCGTGACGTCGATTATACCGGTCATTAAATCCTGATGCGACTAGGAACCGCATCGAGGCCGGCAACACCTGACGCGGCTTCTAATCGAAAGGAGACAATCGCGACCGAGTCACGGAAGGAGGCACGGCAATGTAATTACGAGCTGTAATGACACGAAATCTGGATATTAATGGCACCGACACTCCGTAGTCAAGTCTATCTTTGTGTCGAAAATCACGAACAAAATTTAATTCGCTTAAATCTCACCGTCTTCTTCGAGACACGGCGCGAGAAAATAAATCTCCACGAAATTCTCAACATAATCATAGAGCAACATCGCAATTCAACCATTTGCGTCATAATAACAGTCTGTGATCAAAGTAATTTTTTCGCTATTGTAAGGTCGCTTCGATAATATTTCTTCTTTTTGACGACGTTTTATCTCTTCATCTATGTATTTTTTATATAATAATATTCGACATTCTCGGAAACTACTTATTACATAAGAAACAAAGGAATATGGATTAGATCTAAAAACGCGTAAAAACATTTCCTAGGTATTCGTGGATTTGTTCAAGAAAAAATATTGTCATCATGTCAAGCATCACTTTTCCTCCCCAACAACATTTACTATAACGTTCGCTAATTAATGCTACTTATTGGTAAACACGGAAAAACGATTTGCTAAAATATCTAAAAATTTAGGTAAATACAGATCTAAAATATAATTTTGCTTGGATCATCAAAATAATTTTTAGATCTGTTTTATCTAAATTTTTTGATATTTCCAAAACCATTTGCGATATAAATAAGCCGAAGCAATATGCCATTAATTTTGTATATATTGTACAGCTGTGCGCGATTATGTGTCACGAACATACTTTGTCTTTTCTTCCTCGTGTCTGAGGAAGAAGAAGAGACAGATTGACCCGTCTGTCTACGCCCGATATCAGGAATGATAAAGCTGAATCGTAAATACGGCATGTAATTCCCGCCGTGCAAGAGTATATAAATCAGAGATGTAATTTCCATACGAACGGTCCCGACGAAGAATCTAAAGATGCACAGTAAAAAAATTTGTGTATTTTTTGTGTTGGAAACGGTCCACTCACGTTTGTGTTAACAGTGTGTGTTGAATTTTTTAACATATTCGAGTGTTAATTTAATATAATGTGATTATGTTATTTGAAGATTTTTTGTGAAATTGATATTCAATATTTCTTAGTGTCAAAATGACAAAATTTATGAGTAAGTGAACAAGTAACATAAAAATAATGTGTTTTAAAACGTAAATTCTAAGAAAAATGAATGAAATATGTGTTAATTTAACATATCATAAATGTTTTCTGGAAAAAAAATATTCCCACGGTTTGTTTACGAACTATGTCGATGTTATCTTTCTTTGTATTTATTCTCTTACATAATATTTGTGTTACCTTCTAACATATTCATCTTGTGTAAAATTAACTCAAAAATTTGAGTGGACCATTTGGGACATGCGATTCATGTTAAATTCAACACATTTTTTCCAACTGTGTGTAAAGATCTTATTTCATTGCATACAGTACAAGCGGATATGTTGATAACATTATAAATAGTACACTATCAGAATTATAAAAGTATTTCGTTTAAATCGCAGATAATCCATCGTTATAATAATTATAGTTCTGTTAAATCGACGAAGAAGTGCAGAAGAGTCGAAGGGAGAACGCCGTCTTTCTCGAATAGAATCGGTATCTTTCGGGAGCAACGAGCTAATCTCTTCTTGTGCAATAAAAATGAAACGGTGCCTGTGGCGAGGTTAATTAGCAAAAATCATGAGGGAGCAGATAAGACAGTTTCCACCTCTCTTTTTGTCTTTCTTTACTTGCCTATCTCCTTCGTTCTCTTTCTCTAGAACTTCTCGTCGCTCTTCTTTCCCCCCATTCTAAATCATTCTACTTTCTTCTTCTCCCACTGCCGCTTAAATCGAAGGCTGGAGGGAACTCCTATCGAATGAATAAAAGGCTTTTCGTCTGCGGCCGGCGACGAAGCCGGCTGCAATAAAAGCTTAATTTATAAGACGACCTTCGACCTCGCCTTGGTAAACGAAAGGGGTACGCTATTATCTTTACATAAGCGCGGATAAATGGTTAAAAACAGGCACTCGTGAAAAAATGGAACACAGATAAAATAATAAATTTGCAGTTTTCTAAAAAAAAAAACATATTGCACTTATTGGAGACAATTATTAGGTAGTTAATATAGATATTTAAATTAATCCGCAATACACAGACACTGCAGATGTTGAAGAATCATGTTGTCTAATCAAAAGCAAAACGAGCACAGTGGGAAACCATTAAAGATCGACTCGTTCCCGGGATGACACATAATGCGATCGTAATTTCGGATTTTTGTTTCCGAATGAAAAGCCGGCATAACCCTTTAATTCCGATGTTTTTGAAGTCATCGGCCGCGCCCACGGCACGGCGCGACACGACTGTCCCTCGGGGAATGTGAATATCGTTGATTGTAGCAGGAACGGGCTTCCGGCTCCGTCGTCGAAGTCGCGGTCGAAACTCAAACAGCATGTAATCTCTCGTTATATCCCAGGTCGCAAGAATTATCTTGCTTAATGTAGGCGCAATTGCGCGTACCGTCAATAATAAAATGGACAGCACGTCGTTAGTTCCCTTCTCGCGGTCATTCGATTACACGCTGATTACCAGAAAATTACGTACTAACATTGCCTTTAATATTACATACCGCTACTTTTCTGTACAATTCTCGATGGGCCGGTTTTTGCATAACCCATGAAAACGCTAAAATGTTGCATTAACCGTACAATTTCAACTGCCATTTATTGAAAAGGAAAATATAAAAAAATATCTCATTTTTTTAATTCTTATAATTTCGTTTTTTAAATATTTTTTATATCATCTTTTGGAAGTACTATCTATATAACGCATATGTAAGAAAAAATAGTTTATGATAAACATATTTTATATTATTAGGCAGAAGTGCTAGCAAAGACGATTGTTCATGAAATTATGACGGCCATGGGACGGTATGAGCCGGCACTTCCGGTCCACGGAGACCGGAACTGCACGCATAGTCGGCTTGCTGTCGCGTCGCGGATGGCCCCCCAGTTGCAGTGAGAAACTCACCCAAAGTTATTTCACGCCCGGCAGAGCGCGGAAACGAGCATTTACTCCAGATTTCGTTCATAAATCAGGGTCTGCCTGAGAGTGTTCTGCCCTCGCTCCTCGTTACACCCCCGCGGTCTACCACGGTCGTGGGGGTTCTACTGGTAGTCAACAATGAAATTTGAAAGCGATTAAGCGAAATCGCTGCGGAAATCAGTGTTCGCAGCGAAGCGACGACATATCACGATAAAATTAACTTTGCTGGCCTGTTCTGGTCTATTTGATCGAAAATATAATTAATTTTTTTTGTTAATACTTTATTTAAATTAGATATTTGATAACTTTGTCTGTCAATGTAAGATCTTTTTTCTGTGAAAATTTTTTATTTTTTAAAGTTTTTTAATCATGTTAATCAAAATGATATGATCGTAAATTGAACAGATTAACATATTATAATTAATTATAATTAATTAATTATATTACGGTCAATATAATCGTTCGTAATTTTTGCAAGCACGAAAGATGCAGGAATTGATGTGACAAAAAATTCTTTTCCACACATTGAAAACTATTACCTTTTTCTATGAAAAACTTCTTTTTAGATGAAAAATTAATTACTACTGTAACGAATTAACATTTTCAATAAACATTCTATTTTGCAATATCACGGATGAATCTGATATCTGTAAGAAGAAAACAGGAAGTATCAGTCTGTTAATATGATAATGACGAAGACATAAAATTTTACTCGCGGATGCGATATACATATGTTACAGCTTCACCGACTTCCGCCGTCGCGATATTTATGTTTCCTCGCGAGAAATCTTGAGGGAAAAACGACTATCAGGAAAATGTGGCAACCGTAATATTATTTTGATTTGGAAATCAACAGGTGGATTGCCGACAGCCGGGTAGCGAGTGCCAGGAGCTTACAGAGACAGTCAGTTTTCCTCTCTTTTCTTCTCTCATATTTGTTTCAGATCATTTTCGATGTTATCCCTATAGCATATGCCCTATACGGGGCAGATGGCTGAAAGTGTTAAGTTAGCCTACATTGTGCGACACCGGGCGATTTAAAGGGGACCACATTTATATTTTGAATTATCGATCGCATCAGTTGAATTTATTGGTGTTCGTTGCGGAAACCTCGAGCAATAAAAGTTGTTACATTTTGCAAATTACAGTATTAAAAAGAATTACGAAACGTGAGGCTCGTTGCCTTATTAATGTTTAATTAATAGGTATTCGAGATGCAACTAAAGCAATCGCAAATGCGCCGGTGTCGCTAAGGGGCGGGTGAAAAATCGCAACAAAGGCAGACAGCTCGCAAGAGGAAGAGGAGGTGAAGGAGGAGGAAGAGGAGCAGAAGCCTCATGATCATACCTTCCACCTGTACGTACACGCATATACGTACCAGCACCAATACGGGGGATACGTTGGTCTCTTATGTACAGCTACAGCTGCCGGAATGTCTCGACGGTGTTCCGGCAAAGAGAAAGGGACGTACAGGTGCGATCATTAACTCAATTGAATTTCGATAAGCAAAAATGTGCAACACTGTTTCGAAATGAAACGCCTCTATCGTTTTACGGCGATTGTCACGTATGTCAAAACGAATGAAGCCGACGACCTCTCATTTCGCAGATTATCGGTATCGTCTTTTATGTTCACGCGACAAAAGATTAAAAATCACTTTTCGGTGCAGCTTGCAACATATCTTATCTAACGACGTGTTCGCCATGCAACTTCCGAAGCGTTTCTCAGTCTTTTTTTTCCTCCCCTTTTCTTTAGGAGAATTAGAAGTGCCACGTACGGCTCGGTAGCATGGCCAACGGAAACTTGAAAGGATCTCAAGGAAGGCGAAAGGTGCTCGCGTGTATGCGTGGCTGCCCGCGCTCGTGTGGGACAACGTGTCATTAAATCGAAAAGGCACTTGTGCCGCCTGCACTTGCCGTCCAGGAAGAAGCACCTGACGGTTCCTCCACGACAGGGTGGGTTTTTAACGGTCGAAAACACAACGCGCCGCATATAGTGATTCCAAAGGGTAGGCTGCGAGCATAGGCAGCGGATCGATAGATGATCGATAATAAGACGCAGGTGCTTCTTTCACGCGTATTGTTCCCGCTCGTTTCCTCTACCACGTTCCGTTCCGACTCTTCCTCTTCTTCTTTTTCTTCTTTCATTTTGTCGTTCTATTTTCTTTTCTCGTCCTGGTTCCGCTTCTCTTGCTTCGCCGTTTTTCCGCTTCGCCTCTCTTGTTTCAACCCGATCGTTTTCGCCTCATTGCATTGTAGCACTCTTTTATTAGTGATCTCTTTAAGCTTCTCCTTCTACCTCCGCGTTCCTTTTCTTCTTTTTCTCTTACTGACCCATTCGCATTTTCATTACTATCCCCCATCTCTTCGTTCATCATCGCAGTCTCGTCAATTGTTTTTTCTTTCTTTGCCGCTCCATTCTGCGCGATGTTTATTACGTTGCATGTCTCTCGGCGTACGTACGTCATTTCGTTTAATGTAACATTACGATTCTGTTATGTCAAGCTTCATATTTCGAGCTCCGATGGAGACGGTTTATTAATGCCAGTTGCATACAACTGTTACTGACAAAAGCGATAAAGCCTTTCCTTTCCGCCTTATGTTATTCATTACGCTATGTACAGCAAGTAATTATAATCCTAATTGTAGATATCGAGTTTCCCGTATTTCTTCTATCGAAGATACATAGTGTATAACATAAGAACCATAGTGCATTGATGAAGGACAGTTTATTCATCGTCTATGCGTCGTCGTTGCAAGTGAGACCACCTTCGTGGGGTGGGAACGCCGAAGGGTGATGGCGCTCCTCCGAAAACGACGGTTGAAAGTCGCGTCGTCTTCTCGCGTGGGACCTTCAGGTAGACGTGAAACTTTTTAGTTCTCCACAGAGCTCTTCAAGGCGTTCGGGGTGTGCACCTGCTATACACCTGTTGGCCGTTGGTCGCTACTCCTGCTGTCCGTCGCGAGCGAGTGCGGCCGCGCAGTACGTGTGCGGGAAACGTATCTCTTCGAGACCGTTAGAAAAAAAGGCAAATTGATGCGATCTCTTTAGGAGACGGTCGTAACAGGAAGTGGTAAAGGGTAGGAGAAAAGAAGGAATATACTATAAAAATAAAGGAGTAGTCGAATATCGAAGGATAATCAGATTTTTTTAAGTTAGCACTTTTATGCACGTTTAGAAACGCGAATTTAAAGGGTTATATCAAAATGTCATGTTTTTCGAATAAAAAGGAATTTTTTAAAAAAGATTCTTGCGAGTCTTTTTTCTTCTTTTGAGAACATTCTTTTGCGCGCAAATTTCAATTGGTGACTTTTACATAAATGCAGAATCCGGCTTTTGTGAGGAACGTTTTGCCAAACGAGAATGTTATGCCGTCAGAGTCATTCAAAAGACGACGCGGCAAAATTGTTTCTTTCAGCAGGCAAAAGCTTGGCAATCATACGCTATTAGCCTCCTCCACAGCCTGATCCAGCACGCGCTCAGGCAACGTCGGTTGCGAAGGCAATTTTCAAACGGGCCAATAGCCACCTCGCATCGGTAGCAGAGGCATTGAAGCGAACGAAGAAAAGGGTGATCGGAGAAGCACGCGTTACCTATATATGTCCATTGAAAGTTCTTAAATCCTTCGTTTTTCACGTCATTTTAAAGATAATCTTCGCCTATTGTCGCAGAATTCTCTCGAATTCGCGCCAAAAGTATATAAAAGTATTTTATTATGGCGTGAAAAAGTACATTAATATTGTTATAGCGCATAAAAGATATCTTTGTAATTACTGTTATTTATCTTTTTCGTAGGATTACATGCTTTGCGTTTCAACAATGTCTCGCGGATCAACAGCACGATCGCTAACAGCTCGCAATTTACAGGAACGGAGCCGATCGCGCGCACACGCGCAGCCGGATCGTTTCCACCAAAGGCGAAAGACGAAAGACGAAAGACGGTTGAAGGGCAATTATCGTGCGAAGGGCCATCAGGTATTCTGTAGCGTGTGGAGGAGTGTATAAGTGGAGGAGGACGCGGAGAAGCAACGAAGGCATGATGAACGGAGAGGCAAAGGGAATCGAGGAGCGTCTGATACACTTTTAATACGGGACCGAAGGAGCCCCCTGCACAGCAGGTGCACCGCAGGTGATTCTCCTCGTCCTTCTCGCACGCTGTGCGCAGGCTTCCTCTCACGACTCCTCACGGCCGGCCTGCACCCTGCGTACGCGATCTCCCACAGTGGTGGACTCCTCTTTTTTCCACGCAGAGGGGAACAGAAGGAGGGCTTTTTCGCCGACTGGGACTCGCTGGGAAGAAAGGATCAATCGGTAATAGCTGTGCCAAATGCGCCCGCCTGTGCCTAATGATTATCTAATCATTATAGATTCATCGCGCTCTCCAAATTTCGAATTATGAGGAACACATCCCCATCGTTTTATTTTTTAAAAATACAGACGCAAGTGAAGAAAATAAAGAAGAAATTGTACAAGTTGTGGATTTAATGAAATTGAATATTCTATCAAGATATAATTCGTTTTGAAGTCGAATTTGTTGTAAATTTATTATTATAAATTTAATATTGAATAAAGTATTTTTTTTACTCGTTTGTCTTATTTCTATTCTATAGATTTTTTATTTTATTCTTACAAATCCACAAAAGCATTCTTAATCTTAAAACGGTGCCGCTCGTAGGCCGCCCGTAATTGAGATTCTCGTTGACGCGTGGGAAAGAAATAGGGCGCCAACCCTTTTTTCGAGACGCCTCGCAAGACGCTGGGGGTGGAAACGTAACCGATACGCTCGGCAGGACCTTGTTTGAATTTCATTAAGCTACCCGACGCCACGTCGGGATTTTGTTCTGCTTGACTGCCATGTCCGTCGAAGCGACCAGGAACGCTGCAAACAGGATTTCTTGCCGTGCATTCCGCAAATAGTGACTTTAAATGTCGAAAATAAGAATAAACGCATTAAAAACGTGACATTAAAAATCTCGATTCGCAAGAAATGTGTGCACTGTTCCAACGATTTATTTCTCATATCATCAGATGATTTATATTTTTACGTGCTGAAACTTTTTAACATAATTATGTTTTCGTAATAAAAAATATCTATACAGAAACATCGTTGTGTTATTCATGCTGCTAATTTCATCAATTTAAATCAATTCTAATTCGATGAAACTATTTCTGACGTTATTCATGAACATATACCAAGTGATTTTAAAAAGCCTATTTTCTGCTGCGGAATTAAGCAACATTTATACGCGTAAAGCGATTCAGACACGATTCCCTCTTATCGCCGATGGGCGCGCGTGTTACAAAGTAACTTGCGGCACGAAGAAAGTAACACGTATTCTCGTACCCAATATTATCTAAATTACACGAAACACGCACATTCGCGCGCGTCGAACGCTCATGGCGCCGCAGATGAGTAATCCCTTCGATGCTTCCGATCGGTTCGTCTCACCTGCTGAATAACGAATAAATTCTGTTAAAACATATTACTCGTCCGTGTCGTCGTGCGTTTACATTACCATTACGTTACGTAACGCAATTTGCACCGTGCACTCAATGCCCATGAAAGAAGAAGAAAGAGCCGGAGGCGCGGCGAGGCGTTAACACTCGCGAATTGACACTTACTTTCTCTCGATAACCATATACTCGAGGCTAAAGTCGCGGCGCGTAAAGCGCAGAGTAAACAGCAAGAATGAGTAGAAAGCGCAGAGTTGAATATATAATAATATTAGCGAAGTATGAACACTTGTTGGGAAGCGCGATGATAATAAATTAACGATAACTGAGTGGCCGATTACCTTGTAGACACAACATGAAACCTCGTTACCTAGGATACACTGTAAAACGATTAATTACGAGCAAGGTCGACCATCTGACCATCGTCTCGCCTCGAAAATGGAATATGCATGTCACAAGTGCGCAAGCTGCAGCAACTCACACTCGGGAGTAGCGAGCGGCCGGACCCCCATAAAAGATCGGCGCAGCTGGATTTTTTGGAAAAAATCCGAAGCAAGCACGGGTATGCGGTTGCCCCAGGAAGACAGCTACGAAGACGAAGAAGAAGAAGAAGAAGAAGAAGAAGCTCAAGTGCTGGTGGAATAAAGGCCACGAAGACGTAGAATAGAACGAAGCGAATGAGAAGATGAAGGAAAAAGACCTCGGTGAAGAACGAAGGTAAGGCGCAAATGGAGAAAGAAGAAGAAAAAGAAGAAGAAGGAAAAGTGGAGGAAAGATCAGAAGCAGCGGAAGAAGGATAAGAAGATTCAAAGGAAGAGTCCGTCTGTGGCGGTGGAGTTGAAGGAGGACAGTGAGGTGAGCAAGGTGCTGCCAAGGTGGCGGTTAGGGCAGCTGATCTTCGAATAGCAGCAGGTGAATGTGAAGAAGCTCACGTGGATGAAACGAGATGGGGAGAAGATGGCGGTTGTGGTAGCGGCCGTGGAGGAGGAAGAGGTGGAATCCACGCGTGCATAAAAGGTGTTTCGTTATTGTTACCAGGCGAGCGGCAGCCCCTTGGATTTATTAATCTTGTTCTGCTGGCAACATGGTCCCGTGCCATCGCCGTACGACTGATAGACCAAAAAAGGATGGTACCTTCTGCTCATCGCGATAAATTCCTTCATACATATGCTCGAATTTCAGGATGATCGATTTTGAAATCATCAAGCATGCGGGCAAGATGAACCATGAAATCTCTAATTACATTCATCTGCGCAACGTATCGATGTCTTATCGTCACCGCACTATTTGATCACGACAGATTAATCCTTATAATATACATAATAACTGTCATTTCAAAGAATACAAATTGTTATCTCAGACGGGGAATGCAAATGACCCTCTCGATCGATGTCTGTCCATTTGCAAGCCTTGATACGCAATTATGATAAATGATATCCTTTGACAAATATTTTTGCAGCTGAGAAGATATAGCAAAAATTTTCAAAAGATTTACATCCACAAATCATTGATAAAAAAATCAACAGTATCAGAATTTAATCATACTCATATTTAAAAATAGATTCATAACATTTATTCTGTAAATATTATATAATATATAGCATTACTTTAAATAAAAATTAGTCAATAATAAAACTACTAAAACAATTAGAGCAGATTATTCGTATGTCATCTAATTAATCTGTTCCGCAGTGACATTATCTAACGTTTGACCAAAAAAAAAAAAAAACTTTTGTCGCAACGGTGGCCGTCATAGAAGAGTTTACGGTCAATTTCCCGTCAATAAAGTATGCCTGTTCGTTCATCATCGCGTGCGTATATATACCCGATCGACGACATTCTTTCCCATATCGAATGCTCCGTGGAGGGTACCGAGGATGAAGAAGCCACGCAGTGAGATCAGAAAACAAGCTCTCTACTCCGTATGTCTTCGTCGCGGTTATGCGCACACGAAAACGCACGCATTTGCTTTAATTACACTGGTGAACCGTCGCTTCTTGCCGAATCTTACAAATCATATCCTATCGAAAGAGAAACGAATTTGCAAAAAGAAAAAAATATTCCGAATGTTTAATATCATTTTTTACATTTTCGTACTGCCCAGGCAAAGGAATATAAAATATCAATTTATTTTTTTATCGATAGAACACAATGTTAATTTCATCAATGGGCTCGGACTAATTAGTAACCTGATATTAATATAATTCATAAATTATAAAATCTTTTTCGCAAAATTCCGTTATACTATTTTAAGATTTGCGTAATGTCATTGCTTGTAAATATCATTATTATGCAATTTAACTGCGATTGTTCGAGCACATCGACGACAAGAACGAACTCACACGTACGCCCCCGTCCACTTTGCGGGCAGAAGACGAAGGGGAACGATACACCGTATAGGACCGTTCGACTTCCTTGCGAAGGTCCGTTCCCATGTCCTCTCCTGGTTCTTGCTTTATGGGGCTTTCCGTTGTCGCCACTTCCCATGGACTTCCTAAACATTGACTTCCTTAAAGGAGGCACAGGGAAGAGCAGATGGCCTATTAATTCGATTGCCGCGAAGGAACCACCGCCACCATCACCGTCATTACCACTACCAACGCAGGCACCTTGCAACATGCATGACGAAGAGAAACCTCGCGAGACGCCCTTCTCTGTGCCTTCTCAGACGCAGTGCACGCACTTGTCACGCCCGTTTTCAGCCGTTAAATTTGTCGAATTCCCCGATGACCTCATGGTAATAATATACCGGAGCTTTGCGTGCTTTCAGTTAATTTTGTATACGCAACGCGCGTGTAAAAATAAAATTAATATACGTAAAGTAATTAAAATTTGATGGTTATTGATCACTTGAAATACAGTGTCACTTTCGTTTTTCATTCGTTATCTCATCATGTTCTGCAAGATCAATGCAATGCGAAACAACTGTAACGGTGTAAAAGATACGTAATGTAGGTCTTATCGAAGATGAGCAATTTGCATGCTGTTAATAACAGAATGTTCTGTCAGGGAGCAAAAGTTTTGAGTGTCTCTTAACAATTTGATTGGTATTGGATAATTATTACTGAGTCATTCAGTCTTTTTTTTTTGAAAGTCAAAGTAAACGATAAGCACGTCGAAGAATCGAGAGTCTGTTTTATCTTGTATCGGTCGACCGATCGACAATAATAACAGATCTGACGGTGCACTTTGCACCAGAAGCAGTATGTATACGAAATATAATATTAATAACAAAACCGGCTGGGGCGACACTTTCTGACGAACGCAAATATCGCTCGCAAGAATCTAAATTAAAGCGACAAAGATGATTTTCTGTCTGCTTACAAAAGTAAGATATTAAAGATCTTATCACGAGAAGTAATCTCAAACATTCAGTTATCCATCTAACTATTATCGATCGAAGTATGAAATCATTATCTATAATTAATTGTATCAAGTATGAAGTCCAATAATAAAGTTATATTATTAATTAAAGATTTTAGTAGATACATTTTAAATTCAAAACTCGTGCTAATGTTAATGATTTAGTTTCTCGCATTATTTCATTGAACTCAACGAAGATTTAGAAAATTGCAAGGGAAAACTACAAATTTATCGAATTCACATTAAATATGACATGAGAAGAAATATGTGTACCTTAGGTCGAACAGAGAAATCGACGATGTCAGGCTCACTTATGCAAAGAGGTTTTATCCGATCAAATATTATGCAATTAATTTTTACATAGAAGTTGTATGCAAATAAATCTACGCAATAAAATACGATAATAAACGCTAAACTCCGTAATTTCTTCAACTTCCACTTGAGTTACGCGTCCGTCTCTGTTTGAATGCTTCTCGAATCGTTGCACTTCGAACCTTTCATTCCTCTATAACTGATTATTTTTATCAATATATGTATACATGCGTAACTACATGTATTCTTACATGTACACAGTCATTTTTAAAACAACACAAATTATACAGACAAAATAAAATAATCATGTTCAATGTATGTTATAAATTGAATGTAGGAACGAAAATATTTTAAGATTTAAATTTTAGGAATGTTAAATATTCAGTGTAGAAAATCTCGAATTGTCTTATACTATCGAGATACAATCTATACATGGCAAGCTGTCTTTGAATTTTACAATTGCCAATAACTTTCCGCATTTCTTATCTTTTATACTTTATCTTTGCATGGTCATTCCAGAATGCATAAGATATATAAGTAAATTAATATATAAATTAATTTACATCAATTTGTACGCACCGATAAGTAAAACTATTTAACATTTATTTAAATTTTCTGAACAGTATGTTCGTCAGACGTACGTCAACCGGTATCTAAAGTAACAAGTAGATAACTCTTTCGATCAATTATTCTCATTATTATACCAAAAAAAAATAAATTATTCTCGTTATTATGCATGATAAACTTAGCAATGTCAGAATTTCCTTCATGAGTGAAAGGGCTTTTCAAATCTAAGAACGAGATAAATCCTTGGAATGAAATAATGTAGTGAAAGAAATGAAGACTGTGGAAAGAGGATGACGAACGAATGGAGTAGGAATTGCTGAGATAAATGTAGAGAAAGGAGAAAAGAGAGAGATAGGGGAGGGATGTGCGCGATACGATCTACGATGGCTCCTGTCTTCAGCATGACTTGTAAAGGGCTTGGGTCTTCGGGATACTCTTTGATAATTGCCGACCACGAGCAGGCTATATTTCAAAGTATACTGCCAGGTACTTCCAGGTATTGTTTTGACGTTCAATTACGTTCTTCTGGATTGTTAAAATCTAAGCCATTTGCACCAGTTACAAAGCAGTGATGATTTTATAAGGTATTTATGTAAGTAAAAAACAACAAATGAATAGATCTTTCTTAATTTCTTTTAACAGGCAGTATAATTTTTTTCGGATAATTTAAAGAACTTTTAAGAGATTTGAAATTTTTATAAAGGCAAAGCATTGTCTATATTTAACCGGCATCCTTAAGATGAAAACGTTCTAGAAAAAGAAAATTAAGATACGTCACGATAATATTGCGAATGAAATAGACGACTGAAAAATAAAAATATTCGAATTATTGACCTAATATTGAAATCTTAGATTATCATTTTTTCGACCGACAATGATATTATAATTACAAATTAATGAATTAAATTAATAAGGTAAAATAAATAGAGTTAGGTCGCAAATTACAAATTTAATCTGCAAAAACTTATGTTAAAGAGAGAGAAAGAGAGAGCAGGGCTATTTCTTCCCTTAAATTACTCATAATAAACCTCTCTCTCTCTCTCTCTCTCTCTCTCTCTCTCTCTCTCTCTCTCTCTCTCTCTCTCTCTTTCTCTCACGTTAAGCATGATCTCGGAAACTGCAGTTCTTTTCAATCTTCATACCCCTACGAGAGGATGGTATAAATCGGAAATCGGGGAGAAGATGGAAAGAAGACGAGAGGGGAGGAAGGAATTATAGCCATTCGTACGAACGACAATGGTTGTATACGAGTGCATATGCGCTTGGTGCATACGCGTGTGGGTCCTCCTGCGCTCCTCGTATTTTGTACCAGCTCGGTGGAAAGAGCGTGAAAAAGAGCCTCGGGAAGAAAACTGGTTGGCGTCCTCACAATGGCGGGTGGGATTACGTAGGCGCCCTTGGGA